TGGCTCCCACCGGGGTTTTGGAGGTAGAGGGGAAGGCAGTGCCACACCCTGAGCAAGGTGACGAGACCAACTATTTGAGGGATGAGGGAAGAGTGGTGGCCTGGAGCTGAGTGTCAAATACCACAACTAATACAAAGGGCAGCCGGTGCAGGGAAGCAACAGCAACCCAGAGTGATGTGTGGAATCCAAACCAAGTTAGGGTGGTCATTGCATTAGGGGATGGGAGCAACGTTAATACAAGAGAGATTGATCAAATAAGCAAACACACTGAGGATAATGGGAGTCAGATTTCTCACTGTTGGCGTGAGAGTCATAAACATAAAAAAGTTTATGTTTATGTTAAATTTGTGTTCGTAAACTTGGAAAATCCTGCATTGCTGGATTGGATTTGGAGAAATTACTAAGAGTTTATGGTTCTCTATATATACAGAAATACATATGTGTATAATGTATACCCATACACTGAATCGGAAGTATCACTGTGACTTAACAGTCTTCAATATATAGAGATAATCATTGAAAAAATACAGATGTGCATGTGCATATATCTCTGTATCTGTATATACACATATATTTCCGGAGAGGGCCAGGGAATAGCAATATCCCAATAACAACAAGCACACTTAGTGCCCACTTTGGTTTCTAAAAGGAATCAATACTCCTTGGATAAATGGTGATGATTCATGGCTAGCTGGGTCAAAAATGATCCAAGATGAGCCTGAACATACTGTAGTGTCAAAACTAAAGAGCTCACAACCTTATTAAAACACAAAGCCAGTCTGAAGGGAGTCCCAGCAGACAAACCTGAGACAAAATGATCATTAAAATAAATGGCAGTAACAGGGAATGACCCATTAAAATAAAATAGTTAACACAGAAGTCCATGTTAGTCCACACTTATATAAATGGGGACTGGAACAAGTTATTCCTTTAAGTGAACGACCAACTAAAAAAAATAAAAATAAAAGTGGAGTGTCAACCGATGAATGTAAAATAAATGATGGAAACAGAAAACCACTACTTGCTATCAATTACAGTAATAAACTAATTAAGCCAAGAAACAACAATGGATGCTAAAATCAGTGGGTTAAAGGCACAAGGAACAAGATATTTACATACAAAGCACTTCCTCCAAAATGCTTATTTATTACAAAGGGAAAGAAGATTAACTTCCCAGTGAAGAAACCTTACAGATACCACCTTAACCAAGTGATCAAGGTAACATCAAGTAATGGGGAAATCATGTACCACCTGACAGGACGCAATGAGAACACAGCATCACTTCTGTGACATTCCTGCCAAAATACAAGATCTAAAACTTAATCATGAGGAAACATCAGAAAAAGCCAAATCGTGGAATATTCTACAAAATAACTGGCCTGTAATCTTCAGAAGTATCAAAGTTATGAAAGTTAAGGAAAACTGAGTTACTATTTGAGATTACAAGACAAAATGCAATCTGTGATCCTTTTGCTATGAACGGCTTAACTGGGAAATGGAAACATGAATGAAAGTTAGGGAAATGATGAAGTCTGTGGATTAGACAGTAATAATGCATGAATTCTGATGGCTGTATTCTGGTCATGCAGGAGAAAGTACTTTCTTACAGGAAATGCATGTTAAAGCATCTGGGGTCTGAGTATAAAATGATAAATAACTCTGAAATGGTTTAGGAGAGGAAGAGCTCTTTACACTATTAATGCAACCTTTAAGTTTGAAGTTACTTGAAAATTGAAAGGAAAACCAAGTATTTAAAAACATGAACTTAGGTGCACTTGTGTGGCTTGGTTAAAAGGCCACTTTGGCTCAAGTCATGATCTCACAGTTTGAGTTTGGGCTCTGCGTGGGGCTCTGTGCTGACAGCTCAGAGCCTAGAGGCTGCTTCAGGTTCTGTGTCTCTCTCTCTGTCTCTCTCTCTCTCTGCCCTTCCCTCACTTGCAGGGGTGCGCGCACGCTCGCGCTCTCTCTCTCAAAAATGAATAAACAGGGGCACCTGGGTGGCTCAGTCGGTTAAGCGGCCGACTTCGGCTCAGGTCATGATCTCACACTCCGTGAGTTCGAGCCCTGCGTCGGGCTCTGTGCTGACAGCTCAGAGCCTGGAGCCTGTTTCAGATTCTGTGTCTCCCTCTCTCTGACCCTCCCCCATTCATGCTCTGTCTCTCTCTGTCTCAAAAATAAATAAACGTTAAAAAAAAATTTTTTTAAGTGTAAAATATTTAACCTTACTGTTTACTCAGAAAAAAATCAGACACTAATATTTTTCACTAAAAACAATAGCGAAGATTTTTTTAATGGTAATATATAGTGCACTTACCAGGATATAAGGTTATTAGCACTGTCACCTATTACTCATGTAGCATAAATTAGAAACTGCATTCCACAGTACAATTTCATACAATATATTTATGGAAGCTTACAAAACATTCGCACCCCTTTACACAGAGATTCTATTGCTACGTACAAGCCAAAGCCAAAGCCAAACCCAATCAAGGCCCTTCAACAGTTAGACATTCCTTAACCAGTTTATCAAAACTAATAATACTGTATATTACATGCTAACTATCCACTAAA